GTCCCGGTGCCGGTCCCGCGATTGTCCCGGATTGTCCCACGGCTGTCCCGCGATTGTCCCAAAATCCGTTTTCCCCCCGTTGTGCCAAAGGCCCATCCGCGCTGAGAGTCAAGGGGTTGGATTTGTTTGTAGTTCTGCGCAGAAAGATGGCTGGGTGGCAATTCCACAAAGGCAGCGCGACAACTGGCAGAAGTTTTCCCTTTTTGTGGATTTTAACAAACCGAGGCGTTGATGTTTATTGGCTACAAGTTATGTAGTTCGCTTATTAATTAGTGTTCTGTCTTCTATTGGTTAATGATCCTCTTGCTTCCAGTGCTAATTAGTCTGCATGCTCAGTCTTTCTCTTAAATTAGTGGGGTTTTGGTCTGTGAGTCAGTGGTGACAATTTGCCCCTGCCAAAATTACCTCTTACCCAGCCAGATCTCAGCACAGTTGCTCAGTTGTTTTAATTAGTTTCTTCCTTATCCTGGGTGTTCTGCCAAATAGCCTTGTACCCCTAAATTCTGCATTCTTTATGTCAGCTAAGAGTGGTACACCCTTCTCCCCTTTGGTAACCTCCCCCTAGGTCTGAGATCACTGAAACATGTCAAGCCCTAAGCCTTAACAAGGCAATTCTACAATCCAATTTGTCTTTCTACCATCTGGACATCACTTAGAGCTTGCTTGTTAGGGATTGCTTTCTCACAGATTGCCCAGAGAGGCTGTGGAGCCTCTCTCACTGGAGATATCCCAGAGCCAGCTGGACACAATCCTGTGCCTGTGCTCTGGGATGGCCCTGCTTGAGCTGGGACATTGGACCAGATGTGTTCTTCCCTGACAACCTGACCCATTCTGGGATTCTGTTTGTTATAAATGAATACTCTAATTTCATAATGAAGGAAATTTATTAAATTATCAAAGTATAAATTTGGGAAAAGCCACAAGTGTGTTGACTCAGTGTTGGGGAGACTCAGGATTTGGTCTCTATTGCACCAAAGTCCCTGTGGGTCTCCAAAATGTAATTTCTAAGGGGTCTGTTTTATACAGTCCTTTGGGCTCTGGAAAGGGCCCTTCTTTAGCATATTTTAGCATATTATCATCGTTTTTCTTTCTTGCTGCTGTGTTTCCTGGAACCAATGGATAATTCCTGAAATCCTGTGTGGTGGTGTTTGCAGGGGTCCCAGGATGAGGGAAGAGACGAGAATCTTGACTCCATGTTTCAGAAGGCTGATTTATTATTTTATGATATATATTATATTAAAAGAAAATGATATATTAAAACTATACTAAAAGAATAGAAGAAAGGACCTCATCAGAAGGCTTGAAAGGAATAGAAAAGGAATGGAATGATAATAAAATCTTGTGACTGACCAGAGAGTCCAAGCCAGCTGGGCTTTGATTGGCCATTAATTAAAAACAACCAACATGGACCAATCAAAGATGCATCTGTTGCATTCCACAGCAGCAGATAATTATTGTTTATATTTCATTTCTGAGGCCTCTTAGCTTCTCAGGAGAAAAATCCTAGCAAAAGGATTTTTCATAAAATGTGTCTGTGACAACTCTGTCAGGTGAAAACTTCCTGGCATAAACTTCTGATGATGCCTATCAAATGCCACCTGCTGGGATCTTGTGAGATGGAAAGAAATCCCTTGAAATATACATCCCAAGAGACAGTGCCCTCCTGGTGTTTGAATCTCCATTCTTTATTTGTCCAGCACAAGGTGCTGTGGTTGTAATTTCCTTTAACACGAATTATTGTATAACACATATCGCATGTTCCTGCCTGAGGACAAGGCCACCCCAGTGATGGGACACTTGGACACCAGGAGCACGGTTCAGCCAGGTCTGTGTGTGTTGGAACTCAGGACATCCCTCTGGCTGTCCTGGATTGCCAGGACCCTGCCAGGGGGCTCAGAGACCCTGGCACAGAGCCCAAGGCACCTGTGACTTTGATTATGACCCATGGAGCAAATTACCAACTTTATATGAGGATCTCCAAGCCACAACAGTATAAGTAGAATAATAATTAGTTTGTCATGGTGTGAAAACTAGATTTTTGGGGTTTTCAGAATGGGGGTTCAGGAGGCAAGATGGAGGAATTTGGGTGGGTCCAGCCTTTCTCCTTCTTCTTCTTGGCCTCCATCTTCTGCTGTGATGTTGGCACTTTTAGATTTGGTTTAGAGTAGAAGCTCACTGTCTAACATAGGTGATAGGTGTTGGAAAGTAATTGTAAATATTGTAGTTTTTAGTATAAAAATATAACACCACCCCAGGGGCAGGCAGAGTGCCTTGGGCTGTCCTGCTGAACGGACCTCGGCTGGACAGGAGAAAGAATTTTATAGATAAGAATTTTATAGATAAGAAACAATAAACAACCTTGAGACCAAGAACTGAGGAGCTCTGATGCCTTCTTCGACTGCCAGGCTGGGAAAAATGACTTTAACACATCTTAGGGTCACTCTGAGCAGCTAAACCCCGAGATGTGTGCTGGCCATGAGAGCACCACTCCCCTGGGAGCCCCAGCTGAGCACTGGGAAGGGCTGAGCCATGCCCAGGCACAGGCAGGAGCTCTGCCAGGCTCGGGAGGAGGAGCTGGAGCCGGAGGGCAGGCAGCAGGTGATGCTCAGGGGCATTTGGGGAGGGACATGGAGGTGCCAGCCTGTCACTGCAGCGGGTTCAATTCACAGTGCACGCTGAGGCTGAGCTAAAAGCTCAGGCACACAACAGAGATGAGATTTAGCTGCGATTACTGGCAGCAGGCACGTCATGAAAATATCCAAATGCAGGCTTTGGAGCCGTGCAGGGATAAAAGTTCCCCTCTCTATTGGAGCAGACACTGGCCCCGCTCAGCGGGACAAGCAAAACAAAGGGAGCTGGGAACATCCCGCAGGCTGACGGGGACTAACGATCTGGAGGATTATCAAAACTTCTTGGCCAGAGCTCTCAATAAGTGTGAAAAATTACTCTACAGCAGAGAAACCCATAACTCTGGAAACAAGTGAGGGGTTTGAATCAGCACAGATGGATTTGAATCGGCACGAGGCAGAGACGGCTTCTCCTCACTGCTGCAGTCAGATCACAGCCTCTGGGAAAAGCCTTGCCATCATTTCTGTCTGCTTGGGAGCCTGGGAGTTATTGACATAATTATGCCAATTAGCAGCGTGATTATTTCTTTCCCACTCCTGGGTGAGCGAGCTGTGCCAGGAGGCACTGGAGTAGCTGCCTGGCCTTCCTCCAGCTCGTGGGTTTCTATGGAGGCTGCAAGTTGGGAAGAGCATTATGAGTGTCCAGAGCACTTTGTGCTGCCCCCATGAAATAATTAAGATCCACAGAAGAGCAGCCTGGCCCTAGGATTGCATCTCCACAGGAGATAAATGAAGATGGAGAAAGGCACGATGCCTGGGGAGCAGCACCATGCACACCTTCAAACTGATCATCCAGGGAACTCTCCTTTCTGTGAGGGCTGTAAATAACAGCTTTGTCTGTTTCCATTATTAAAATAAAATAAATTAGGAAAACAACTAAGATTAGGAAAAAAATTAGTTATTCCCCCAAGTCTGGGAAGTTTCCAAACCAATTTTTTTGTCTGGTGAAGCACAGTTAAAGCCATTAAGTGCCCACATTCACCCTGCAACTCTATCACTTGCAAAAATCCACTTTCCTCTCTCCAAAAAAAAAGCCACAAGCAGCCAAGTATAGATTCCCCACCTTCTGGAAAAAGCACAAACAATTTCATGATGGATGCTTGTGTTAGCATGAGAGGTTTTTCTCATTTTTCCAACACCTCCAAGAGAGCAGGGAAGGAGAGAGGAGAGGCACCTGAGCATATCTTTAGGTCTCTGCTTTTCCTGACTGACTTCTCTGGGCAGCTTGTTCCAAACCCCCATGCAGAGCCCAGCCTGGCTCTCTGAATTTGCCAACATTCAGAGTGTCTAAATTCAAGGAAACAGGGGTGCTACTAGACCACTGCAAATCTTCTTGTAACAAATAACCCTGAAATACAAGACCCAAATCAGTGTCAGGGGGCCATGCAAGAAATTGTTCTCTGGGGGAGCAGTAGGGGTAACCCCCAGGAGCAGAGAGCTGTGCTGCTCACTGGTTAACCAGCTAAACACGATCTGGTTTTACCCTGCTGTGCTCACTTGTGCCTCTAGTAATAAAATACAATAAAATACAATATTTATCATTTCCTTTTGCTGCATGCCAGGCCCAGCAAGGAGAGAAAACCTCTGCCAAGCACCTTTCCTGGCACATCAGGAAGGGTGGGTGCGCTGATCCCCAAGGTGACACCAACAATGTGGTCTGATGTCACATGTCACCAGCTCCAGCACAGCCTGCCTGGGGCCCCCAGTCACAGCCTCCAGTGCATTTCAGATCAAGGCTCCAGACAGCAAGCTTGTCCTGCCACGACGTTCAGAGGAATATATGGCAAAAATAGCCTGGCTTCAGGGTGCAGCTGAACCCACAAACACACACACAGACACTCTCCCTAACCAGGCAGTGACATTGGCACTGAGGACATTTGGACCAGGTCCCCAGGCTGCTTCCCAAGCACACAGCAGTGCAATTCCCCTCAGGAGAAATGAGTTCTGTAAAAAGCAGCCGAGTGGGGACTTGCAGATGGCTGCAGTGAAGAGCCAGGCATGCTGCCCTGCCCGGGGCAGCAGGGCACAGCACAGGCTGCTCCTCTACCCGAAGAACAGACAGTTCCTGCACACCTCCTCATCTCTCCAGGGATCTTCCTCACCTCCTTCTTGCCTCAGACAAGAGTTTTCGCAGAGCTTTTCAGGCAGAGGATGGGCACAGAGCAGGAGGAGCTGTGGGCAAGGGGCAGCTCCAGGTTCTCGGCAGCACTTGGCTCTGCAGTGGTGCCAGTCAGCATCGTCCCTGTGCATCTGCCAGGAGCAGAGCTCAGCCCCTGAACCTGCAAAAATGGAACTCCAGCCCGTGAAAGAAAGCCAGAGTGGATGCAGGGCTGTGATTAGAGTAGTGGCTGCAGCATTTCTCCGTGTAAAGAGGACGTGCTTTCTGCCTTCCCCCACAGCCCGGGGCACTGCTGACTCACTGATGGCAGGACAGCTCAGTCCCCGTCCCATCTCTCCTCTCTGCTGCCCTGTGACCTCCAGCTGCATTCTTCACTCGTGTGCATCCCGTTGCAGGGTAGAAAAAGGGCACAGTGCTGCATTGCAGCCTGCAGAGATGCTTCCCTGCAGCCCTCAGCACCCTAGGGAAGAGCTGCACTCCCTCCCTGCAGCCTGGCAGCACGCCTGCTTCCTTGGCCACAAAGCCAGACAAGCCAAGCGCTTCCCCAAGGGAGGATTGCATGGACACAACACTTCCCACGTGCTTCCAGCCTCTGGGAGTGGCTGCTGCAGCCCTTGTTGTGCTGGCCCATGCCATGCAGCATCCCCAAGCAGTGGGGCCAAGGCTCTGCCCAGCTGAAGGGGATCAGCCCAGGGCTCAGCCCCTGCAGCTTTTGCTGCTGCAAAATCTCTCCCAGCTGCTTGCTGTACTTTGAGCTGATGACAGCATGGCCCTCATCCACCTGAGAGGATTGGAGTGTCATTCTCTTCTCCAGAACAGGGACCTGGGCTGTGACACCAAATGGGGTGAACATTTGGCACCCCATCAGTGCCTGCCTCAAGGTGCCACCATCCCCACAGCCACCCTGGGCCAAAATTCCTCTCTGCATCCTTCTACCCAAGCTCAGGAAGCTCAGGCTGCCCCACCAACTCCCAGTGTCTCATCCCCTGGAGCAGCAGGACATGGATGTGATGCTCTGAGAAGGGACCAGGCCAGCCCAAAGCATCCCCAGCTGGCTCCAGCCTCACCCCTGAGCCGTGGGGTGAGTTCCACACCTGGCTCTTTCTGTGCAGGGAATGCCAGAGAGGAAAAAGTCAACATCTCCGTGCTGTGGGGGTTGCTAAGTGACGGCAGAGCTTGTTTCTATCCCGGCGCTGACAGCGTGCCTACGCTGCAAGGGAAGGAAGTGAGGAGTCAGGGATGTAAACACGAGCACATTGCCAAAACTCTCACAGCATCACCCTTGCCAAACATATACATTAGCTGCGTGTTTTGGCTGCCAGCAGAGAAATATTTACTATGTGTCAATTACTCCAGCCTTGGAGCGTTTTACCTGCAGAGGAGGATTTGCAGCACTCATGAATTTGCCATTTTCTAGCTGAAATTAATTTTCAGACCAAAGTTGCCAGGCTGCCAGTAGCTGCAAGAACAGCTGCAATGAACTGAGATTTCATCCTTACATTGTTTCTAATAGATGGCTTTTGTTTTTCCACCAGGATGTGGCATTATGCAGCATTTTGGAAGCACAACAGAAAGGCAGGACTGGACAAGGGAGGGATGAAGGCAGCCTTTGTATGAGCTCCTGGGGAGGAAAGGAGATGGTTTCAGTACAGAAAAAGGGCACACACACACACACAAACCTACGTGGTTAAGATTATGTGGAGAATTGCAAACTAAGTTAAAAATAGAGTAAAGGCAGCACTGCTGATCTAGTTGAGAAATTTGCCATTGCTAAGCTAGGTGGATAATAGATATCTTTCAGAGTAGAGCTCATCACAGAGCAGCTTTAGAAACTGCATGGGGGCAGGCACACTCCAGCTCCAGCTCCAGCCTTGCTTCTGCCCCGTGCTGTGCTGAACTCAGCACAGAAGGAGGAGAATCACTGGAGGAGTGACTGGGTGGTGACACAGGGCACCCAGCCAGGCTGCCAGCCTTTATCTGAGGCAGGGAACAGGCCAGCCCTGCTCTCCTGGGCCTGGGAACCATCAAAAGCATTTATTAAAACAGCATCTACTTCTTTGTGTACTTGCAGGTTAGCCCAGGGAGAAAGTAGGGCACCCATCTGTGGGAAGGGGAACAAGGGAGGGAGCATCAGAGAAGGGATCTGAGCAGAGCAGCTCCCAGAGCAGAACCTGCTGGCAAATTGAAATGAAAACACACCCCCAGGTGCTGATCAGAGGGAGGTGCTTGCTGCCAGCACAGCTGCCGTGGGGCAGCCTGGGCACCAACAGCCCCATCTCCTGCTCTGGGGCAGTGCCCACATGGTCCCCACTGCTGCAGGGGGTGAGAACCTGCGGGAAGTGGATTTGGAGAGAATTCTCAAAGCCAGGCACAAGGCTCACATAGTGTGCATCTGTAAGCAAACCTTGAGATAACAAATCCTGACTTAGAAATGCCATGGAACAGGACAGACATTGCTGAGAGAGAAATGGAACAAGAAACAAATTTCAAAGGATGGCCTTGCAAAAAAGACTGGATACTTTGGAGAAACTATGAAACTATGAACATAGAACTATGAAAGATGCATTGTAGTAGTATCCACGAGGGGTAGTTTTAGATGATTGGCTTTAAGGCATTTACACATGGTGTGGCTAAAGCTGATAGGCCAAGAAATGCTTATAATGTATTGCAATTAAGAATTAATTGGTTTCTGATTGTGATGGCATGAATTGTAACATCTGTATTGTCTCACCCTTCACTTGAGACTGAAAAAGGAATAAAAGTTTTTAAAATGCCTCTCAGTTGCCCCATCTCTGGGTCAGAAAAGGCCATAGTTCAACAAGAGCCTTTTGGGGTGTCCTTTCCATGGCCCCATGAGCTGGGGAACTGCAAACTCCCAGCTCCCACAGCCTCCCACTCTGCTTTGGAAGTGGCAGAGGTTTTCCCACAGATGGAGGAGAGCTGCCTCCTTCCAAGCAAGTAAGGGGCAGCCCAAACCCTGCTGGGATGGGGGTGTGAGCTGCAGGGCTGGGAGATGGCTCCAGCAGGGATGCTGAGACAGATCCCTCCTGCAGCTATTCTGGTGTGCTGTTGGCTCCCTGGGCTGTGGAGAGGTGCCTGGGGAGGGTTTGCTTTGGGAAGCAGCTCTCAGAAAAGCTGCTTCACAGTGTCCTTTCTCAGGCTGCCAGTGGCAGAAGGGAGCATGGAGTGAGGGTGCAGCATCAGTGGCAGAGCAGCAGTTTGTCACCTTGCTGTCTGCAAGCTGGTCACTTTGGTACATTGTCTCAGGCTCATTTTGGCACCTGCTGTTGCAGGGGAGAAAGACAAGCCCCCAGCCCAAAATGGCTTCTGATGAATGAATGAGAACCTGCAGGTCCATGCCCAGCTAGGACACACATGATGCCTCAGGTTTGAGCTTTTCTATTTTTCAGGTTCTGTGCTGCTTTAGTGTGTGGGTCTGGGCTTCATATGAGGGGATGGTGAGCTCTGTGCAGAGAGCAGGGAGACAAAACAATTCCTGCTCCAGCTGGGCACCAAGGACAAATGATCCAAATCTCAGGCCCAAGAGCACAATGTGGGGTGGAGAGAAAAAAACAAGCAGGATGGGACTGCATGGGCTGGAGCTGTAATTGGACAATTAACTCCAGAACTGATAAAAGTGAGAGACCCCATGACCAGTTGTGCATTTTGTGACCATTTTGGTTCATTTTGGGTGTAGCCCTGGCTGGGCTCTTGTGCTGCCCAAGGTGGATTCATTGAGGCCTCCTAATAAATCCCTGCTTTATTCTTTAGCTCTGTCCAGCCTCTGTTCTAGGTCAGCCTGCACAAGGCATCACACAGGCCAGCTCTTGACTGAGCTGCCTGGGCAGGATTGGGGTGCTGTGGGAACACCCCAATGGTGTTTTCTGATTGTCCTTTCATCCTGCAGGAAGGCTGACCTGCCCCAGCTGGGTGAGAGTGGCCCAGGCCTGGGTCGCTGCTGGGCCCTCAGAAGGGTTCTGAGCTCAGGGGTTTCAGTTCAGTGGTGATGGCTGGAGAGATTCAGAAGAGGGAAATTAACTGGGATGCTGAGTGGTGAGGGGGCAATGGGGTTCAAGAGGCAGCTGCCTGCTCCCAGGACACACCTTTGAAGTGCAATGGTGACTGTAGTTTTCCTAGAGGTGTGTGTGCTTCAGAAATAAGCCTGAAATAACAAAGCACTGCAGGCCTCAGAGCACCCCTCAGCACTTTATTCTCACAGCTTGCAGCCCACTCACACACACCCACAAGCAGCCTTGGAGCAGGCCTGGGGCTCTGCAGAGACACCAGGAACGCTGGAGATGCAGGGAGAGGCACCCTCAGAACAACAGGAGCTGTGCTGAAGAGCAAGGAGCGAAAACAACAAGGACAGACTGAAACCCACAGCCTGCAGAGCCCCCTCAGAGGACAACACAGCCTGCAGAGCCCCCTCAGAGGATGAGCACGGCCTGCAGAGCCCCCTCAGAGGATGAGCATGGCCTGCAGAGCTCCCTCAGAGGATGAGCACGGCCTGCAGAGCCCCCTCAGAGATGAGCACGGCCTGCAGAGCCCCCTCAGAGAATGAACACGGCCTGCAGCAGAGTTCCCTCAGAGGATGAGCACGGCCTGCAGCAGCAGAGTCCCCTCAGAGGACGACACAGCCTGCAGAGCCCCCTCAGATGATGAGCACGGCCTGCAGCAGCAGAGCCCCTTCAGAGGACGAGCATGGCCTGCAGCAGAGCCCCCTCAGAGGACGAGCATGGCCTGCAGAGCCCCCTCAGAGGATGAGCATGGCCTGCAGAGCCCCCTCAGAGGACGAGCACGGCCTGCAGAGCCCCCTCAGAGGATGAGCATGGCCTGCAGCAGAACCCCCTCAGAGGACGAGCATGGCCTGCAGAGCCCCCTCAGAGGACGAGCACGGCCTGCAGCATGTCTGCCAGCACATAGGAGCTGTCCCAGGGCCGGCCGGGCTGGCGCAGGGCTCCCTCCAGTGCCCGTGCCCGTGCCCCCAGCTCTGTGGGGCTGCGCCGTTCCACGGGGCCTGCCTGGCACAGCAGGATCTCGTTCACCTCGCCCTGGATGCGGCGAGCGTAGAGCAACGGGAACACGGCCCTGAGGGCACCCAGCACCGACTCCTTCAGCCGGGAATCTCGGCACACCAGGTTGAGCACGAAGACTCCTGAAGAAGGGAGAGAGGAGGGAGCTCAGAGCAGCCTGTGCACCCCACTGTCACTGTGACATTTATGAAAAATCCCCTCACCAAGCTTTTTCTCCTGAGAAGCCTCAGAAAAGAAATGTAAACAATAATTATCTGATTGCCTGGAATGTGCTCTGGAGGTTGCTCACCAAGAGGTGCATCTTTGATTGATTCCATGTGAATTGTTTTTAATTAATGACCCATCACAGCCAGCTGTGTCAGACTCTGAGTCTGTCACAAGTTTTGATTATCATTCTTGTCTAGCCTTCTGATGTTTCCTTTCTCATTCTTTAGTACAGTTTTAGTATATAATTCCATAAATTATAATTTCACTTGACATCTAATATGATCGATATGATATGATATGATTCATATGATATGAGTCATATCATATATAATATCAGCCTTCTGAGACCTTGGAGTCAGATTCTCATCTCTCACCTCATCCTGGGGACCCTCACAACAATTGGTGACCACACCCCACCCTGCTCCCTGCCACCCTGGTGGAAATGTCTTCCTCACTGCCATTCCCCTGGTCCCATTCCACATCCCTGCTGCCACATGGGTGGTGGGTGGCCATGAGATCTTTTCTCAGGTATTGCCTACACCTTCTGCTTCCAGAAACCTCTGCTGGACCCCTGGGATGTCTCAGGCCATCCTGCTGTCACAGTGCCCACTGAAACACCCAGATGCAGGACCCCCAGGAGAAGGGGATGCCATGCAGCAATCCTGGCTGTAGCCAGTATTCCCCAGGATGAGAAAATGGCACAGCCCCAACTCCACACAGAACTGACCAGCCTGGCCACGGGAACATGGCCACATCTCCCCTCCTACCTTCTGGCTTGAGGATGGTTTTAACTTTCTGCAGAAAGGGCTCCTCCACAAAGGCTGGGGGTGGGCAGCTCATCCCCACCGTGAGGTCTTTGCTGTCCACATCAAACATGATGGCATCATACTGGGCTGGTGCTGCAGGACAAAGCACAGACAGCTGTAATCCTCTGGGACAGAGGTGAGCTACACACGTGGGAAGGCCAAAGATGGGATGGTCAAAATACCCTTTCTGCCATGTTATGAGTGACTTCTCTGCTGGCGTTTCTCTTTACAAGCCCTTGGTGCTGGGGGAGGCAACAACCTCTACAGAGGCTGGCAATGACAGACTGTGAGTTGCAGAGACCTGGTGAGGCTGGGGACTGTGACACAGGACAGGAGATGGGCAGGAAGGGGAAGCAGGTGACAACAGCCCAGGACTCTGCTACCCAGCATGGCACCCACTGGGCTCGATGGGGCTCTGGTACCTTGTCCCACATTGCAATGCAAGATGTTTTCCATTCCCATCTGTATGGCAGATTACCTTTGTCAAGTGGGCAGTTTGCCTTATCTCTCTCTCTGAGTAACCACAGTCACACCTCCCTCTAGTGGGACATCTGCTGATAACAGACTATTGAATGTCATTGCATGGCTGATAAGAACGACAGCATCCCATTGGGAGATGTGAGCCCAGAGGGAGGAGCCAAGCATTCCTACCCAGATACAATCTGAGGTTTCAAACATTCCTGCCTGGATACAATCTGAGGTTTCAAACATTGCTACCCGGATATAATCCAGAGGTTTTTGAGACACCAGCACGGCTTCTCCACTGGATTCCCCAGAGGAACAGCAGCTGCCTCTCCTTCCACTGGATCTTCAGAGGAACAATACATCTTTCCCTACAGGATCCCTGCTCCAGCAGAACCAGCCCTGACACTCCAGGAGGGCTGCAGCCACAATTCCAATGGGACTGCCACCAACACCCTGACCCACAGGGTGTCAGGTTGGGTTCTGACTCTGTCAGTGTTGTTCTAGTGTACTGCATTGTTTATTTTATAATTTTATTTTTCTTCCTTATTAAAGAACTGTTATTTCCTGCTCCCATATTTTTGCCTGAGAGCCCCTTAATTTAAAACTTACAGCAATTCAGAGGGGTGGGGAGGGTTTACATTCTCCATTCCAGGGGAGGCTCCTGCCTTCCTTAGCAGACTCCTGGCTTTCCAAACCAAGACATACCTTCAGCTGCCAGCTTGGCCACGTAGTCCAGGCCATCGCAGACGTGCACTTGCATGCGCTCGCCCTGGCAGAACCCAAACCAGCGCGTGGCCACTTCCAGCATGGAGGGGTCGATCTCCACCACGGCCACGCGGGCCTGAGAGAAGTAATCATGGACAAAGAGGGGCAGGCTGCCCCCACCGAGCCCCACCACCAGCACTGCCAGCTCTCCTGCCAACCAAGAGCACCCAGTGAGCCTCCAGCATGCCATAACCCCACTGCTTGTCTGTCATGGACATATTTTATGAAAAATCCTCTTGTTAGGACTTTTCTCCTGAGAAGCTGAGAGGCCTCAGAAATTAAATGTAAACAATAATTATCTGCTGCTGTGGAATGCAACAGGTGCATCTGTGATTGGTCTCATGTGGTTGCTTTTAATTAATGGCCAATCAAAGTCCAGCTGGCTTGGACTCTCTGGTCAGTCACAAGATTTTATTATCATTCCTTTCAAGCCTTCTTATGAAATCCTTTCTTCTATTCTTTAGTATAGTTTTAGTATATAATTTTAATATAATATATATAATAAAATAATAAATCAGCCTTCTGAAACATGGAATCAAGATTTTCATCTCTTCCCTCATCCTGGGACCCCTTGAACACAACCACACCCATCCCACCCACCATCCCCGAACCACTTTGGGAAGGGTGCACAGGGCACCTTGGCCAACAGAGCCTTTCCCCAAGGGGCTGTGGCGTGGGGACACTGCCCCAGCACAGCCTCCCACTGCTGGCCTTGTCACCTGGGAGGGCGTCGGGGCCCCCCAGCAGGCAGAGCCCCGCAACCATGGCCTTGTGGTGCTCACAGCACAGGTAGCTCTTGTCAATGGCTCCAGGGGGCTCAGAGGGGCTGGGTTTCTTCTTGTCCTTCCTCCTCTTCTTCTGGCCTGAGGAACAGGAGACACCAGCCAGTAAGGCAAGAGGGAGATGGAGGTGTTTTCTGAGAACCAGCCACCCTCAGCCCTGTCCCACCCATGGTGTAGGAACACTCCCAAGTGTCACAGACATCTTTTATAAAAAATCCTTTCCTGAGGATTTTTCCTCCTGAGAATCTGGAGGCCTCAGGAGCAAAATGTAAACAATGGTTATCTGCTGCTGTGGAATGCAACAGGTGCATCTGGGATTGGCCCATGTTGGTTGTTTGTAATTAATGGCCAATCACAGTCAGCTGGCTCAGAGAGAGAGCCCAGCCACAAACTTTTGTTATCATTCTTTCCTGTTCTATTCTTAGCTAGCCTTCTGATGAAATCTTTCTTCTATTCTTTTAGCATAGTTTAAATATAATAAAAATAATAAATCAAGCCTTCTGAAACATGGAGTCAGATCCTCATCTCTTCCCTCATCCTCAGACCCCTGTGAACACGGTCACACCTAAGGTTGCTCTAGGGCACGACAGGCAAGTCCCAGCAGGACTTCTACCTTTTTCTTGTTCTGCTCTCACTCTCTGCCACCCTAAAAATTCAGCCTTGGCCCCTGCCCCATGTACCTGGGAGAGGTGTGGGGGCCAAGAGCCGAGCCTCAGACTGCACCACGTTCCTGTTCTGGAGGAAGATGAGGCGGCGGAAGAAGCAGCTGCCATCTCCCTTCACGTCCTCCACCACGAAGTCCCCGCTCAGGGCGCTGCTGCCACGGTGCCGCACCGCCCGCACCCCGATGTCCCCTCCCACGGACAGGAAGGGCACCTGCAGGGAGGACAGCGCTGCTGGGCTTGGCTTTCCCACTGTCCTGACTGAGCCAGGACGAAGCAGCCACAAGAGAGGAGCAGTGGGGCGCCACAGGAGAGCTGGGGATCCGCACCGGATTCACTCCCAGCACAGGGAGCAAACACAGCAAGAGTTTTTTGCAAGAGCTCAGATGTGCGGAGTTGGGGCAAGAAGGAGAAGACAGAAGGAACAGAAGTTAAAGCCAGGATTAAGACAGGAGACTGGATCCTTTTAGGGTTTCTGGATCTCTGCTTTTCTTGGGATATTGGGTTTTGGAGGGCAAGGACTTCAAATCCTGCCTCCAAGCACAGACAGACAGCTGGAGGGAAAGCCAAGAGAAGCTGCACCTCAGGCCCATCTCCTCCTCACCAAGGCTGGATGCTCACACCTCTGCCTTGGAGGAGAGGGTTTCCCTGCTGGCAGAGCCAGCCTGGCCCTGTTTTGGGAAGCCCAGCTGGGCAGTGGGGGCTCACCTGCTGCCGGGCAGGGAGGCCCGGCGGGGCCAGCTCCATCACCTTCCCCGAGAGCTCAGCCTGGATGGCGGCCATGCCCTCGTAGAGCTGCTCCCTGTGCAGCGCCACTGTCAGCAGGCGCCCGAAGCCCGCGCTGGCCGCCAGCTGCCGCCGCCCCTCCTCCGTCCCAAAGAGCCACTCGGTCTCCCTGCCCTGCGGGACTGCAGAGGGGCTGCCATCAGCCTGGGCTGCTCCCGGCCTGGAGCCTCCAGGGGAGCAGCCACAGGGAATGGCAGGACATTGAAGGGAGGTAGCACTGCTTGGTTAGAGCCAGGAGCTGCAAGCTCATGGAAAAAGCTGGAAAAGCCACATCTCATTAGAAAGGAGGGAGTCCAACAGGCTCCTGAGCTGTCTCCAGGCGGTGGGAGCTTTGCAGGCATGCAGGGAGGGAATGGTGCTGCTGGCAGAGGCTGACACATCTCTGTGGGTGCAGCCCCTGCAAGCCAGGACACCCAGAGAGCAGCAATGCATTCCCAGCTGCAAGGTGCTAACTTGGCTGTCACCAGCCTCCAGGCAGGAATCAGCACCTTGGAGGCAGGGCAGGCAGTGTCCCTCTGCCCAACAAGCTCCTCTGTGCCACGTGTGTGCTTGCACCACCCCACTGCAAAGCCAGGACTAAAACATCACCCCAACCCCACACAGGTGAGTAATTTCCCTCTCCAGCCCCAAATTCAGCAGGCCCTGAAGGGCTGGCTGCTTTGCAGCTCCTGCACCTGGCTGCAGCCTGCCCAAGCTGTACTCACTGATGAAGATGGCAAAGTGATTGTCCCGGGAAGGTTTCACCGAGGGGCTGTCCACCACATGCAGCGTGTAGCGAGGCTTCCCACTCTCTCTGTCACACAGATCCAAGGAAACCTGCTCCCTGCAGGGGGTTTTGCTGATCTGGCTGCAGAGCAGGGCATAGTGCTGCCTGTCCTTCACCGCTGCCAGCAGCCGCTCCGCGCTCTCCACCCGCAGCGGCCTGTCCTGCTCCTCGGGGCAGATCTCCAGGATCCCTGCTGCCGAGCCAGGCACCTTCCTGAACTTTGTCATCACATACACAAAGACAGGCAGCACAAACTGCTGCTTGTCCCCACTGCTGCCCACCTGGTGGACACGCACCACCCACCCTTCCTGGGAGAAATATTCCACAGCTTTCTTCAGCACGTGGGCTTGAGCCAAGGAGACGCAGAGGTAACGCCCTCCCACCTGCAGCACCCGGCTGATCTCAGCAAACATCTGCTCCGCCTTGGCTAAAGTGGCCTCCTCCTCATCACTCAGCAGGGCATCCAGCGTGCCTTTGTCCAGGACCACTTGGAAGTGGGCATCAGGGAAGTCCATGTGGAGCATGTCCATCAGCAGGTAGCTCATGCCGGGCCGGGTGCTGGCGCTGCGCTCCCGCATCTGGTGCACAGCGGCGGCACTGAGGTCGATGTTGACGATGTCCTGGCACATGCCCACGTCGTACATCTGCTCGCTGAGCTCCGAGTTCCCACAGCCCACCACGAGAACCTGGGCGGCAGCACAGAGCAGGGAGATGGTGACAACACCCTGGATGGTGACAATACCCCCCCATTTTAGGAGCAAATACCAGATGTGTGTGGGAAAACCACACCCTCGGGGCCTGCAAACTCACTCTGCATGGCCCAAGATAACACATCCACAGGGAACAGTCCCATGGCAGAGAAGTGATGTGTCTGCTGCATGTTTTTTGAGAATGACCTCGGAGTTTTAACCCCCAGAGCGGGGCCACTCAGGGGTCTCTCCTGTACCCTTGCTAAGGCACACTGGGGGCTTCACATTGTGAAAAATGCGTATCTTATGATTGGCTTTTCGCAAATATTAAAATTAATATTATATGTGTTGTGTTAGGAAGTAATGCTGTATTAATTCTCTTAAGTAGGGGGTTAAATATAGCTTTAGGTTATAAAAAAATGTTAAAACAGAAATGATGCTATGTAGGATACTTTTTTTAAAGAAAGGACTTGCAGTGAGATGGCAGCCACAGGACACCTGAATCTTTCAGAGAAAGAGAATTTATTGCTCCATTATCAGAAGAAATGAACTTCTCTCTGCCTGGCTTGGGCAGGATGACACCATCAGGATTCAGAGGAAGAAGCTGATGATGACCAGACAGAATCCTGTCTTTGAATGGAATTTATGCATCATGGATGAGGTGTATGAATATGCAACAGGCTGTTGCTTTTAAGGGTTAATCCTCTGTTAATGTGGGTCCTTTTTCAGGCTCGTGTTGAAAAAGGTACCCGGACCTCTGTAAGTCTTTGGTTCTATTGTCTCATATTGTCCTAATTCAAATTGTCCAAATTATTATTACTCTAATTGTATTACTACTTTTATGACTATTTTATTACCATTGCACTTTTAAAATTAAAAAAAACCAAAACCAAGTGATTGGCGTTTTTCACAACATCATCTATGTCAGTCCTTGCACACAGCACCAACTAGACTGGAAAAGACCTCTGAGAACGGAGAGTCCAAGCTATGATCAAACACCACCGTGCCAACCAGACCACAGCACTGAGTGTAACATCCCATTTCTCCTTAAACATCTCCAGGGACGGTGACTCCCTCACCTCCCTCTAGGCAGTCCATTCCAATGTCTAAGAGCCCTTTCTCTGAAATGTCCACCCTAAACCTTCCCTGGCACAGCTCCAGACTCTGTTCTTTCATCCTGTTGCTGGTTGCCTGGCAGAGGCAGCCGAGCCCAGCTGGCTACAAGCTCCGTTCAGGGAG